ACCCAATCCCCAAATGACAACCGATTAAACCTTCTTCTGAAATTAAAAAAAAAACTTGGTCCTTTACTCATATCAAAATCATAAACACATACACACACATTATATCTTGCAACATTACAGCAGCCCAACAATCAAAGAGAAATCTTGTCAGGTAGTGACTATGATTCAGAGGAAGGAAACAACTTTGAATAATACGGACACACACAAGCATAAACCCAGTCTTCCAACTTCACAATTCAAAGCAATCTAGGCACTAATTAATATAGCTATAAGTTTTAATCTACCTTTAGATTCTATTTTAAGCCTTTACCATTGCTTCCCCCCACTTTAGAACCAACATTCGCCGTGTTCCCCAAATAAAACCACTCTAATCAGAGAAGTAGAAGACGGAGAGATTTAGGTGGCTTACCTTGGTCGAAAGCGAATACCGGCTTCTTCCTCCACCGGTGACAACCTTATGGGTGCTCTCTCTCGAGATCTCTCTCTCTCTCTCGCCACCCCTCTTCTTTCTAAAGATTGAAGCTTGTCACTGGTTTATTGCTTTTCACTGTGACCCCATGGAAAAGAAGAAGATTGACACTACGCACATGCCTTATTGACAGTATCCTCAATGATGGCAATGTGAGACTTGGGAGAAACCTATGCAGTTTTAGCGAGCGCAATGTGAGACTTGGGAGAACCCTATGCGGTTTTCATTGAGTGGAGACCTGGAAACTTGGTTGCAATTCCGTTGAAAACTATTCAATTTTGACTCTGTTTTTTCTCGAAAAAATTGAGGGCATTTAGTCTTTAACCAAAATTTGAAAATCCCAGATTCATACCTCAGGCCCATTTGGTGATTTCAGTTATTTACATATTCATTTTTCATTTCATATTGCAACAATCATTTTCTAGTCATTTTCCCTAAGAAAAAATTAGTCCAAATTACTTGCCAAAATTTTGTTTTCCATTGGTTTGAATGTGTTTCTTAATGTTCATGGCTTGATTCATTTTGTAGGTGCCATCTAATGAAGTAAAAATTATACTACCTCAAGTTCTTAATATAATACCTTTTTGACTTTTATTTTGGTTCTAAATATAAGATCCTAATTTGCTTTAGCTCTCATATTTTTGTTTTTTTTAAGGTAGTTTTTCTAATAATAGTAGTTTTAGCCAATACACTTAATTAGTAAGGATATTTTAGGAAAGACAACACCTATTTATTATAAATAATCTCATTAATTTCCTCAAATTAGTCAACTAACTCTTATAATTAGGACTAGAGGTGGTATTATATTATTAGTGTGATCATGATGAATTCTCATGATTGTTTCCATTACTATTGTGAAAAAAATATTCTATTTATAATCTTGTAAACTTGTAATTATATTGAGTTTTTATGAAATATAATGAAATTTTGTTATTCTATTGTAAATTTAAATTATATTTATTTAAATAATTAAAGGATTATATATTTATATACAACCTTAGACGGATAGATTTCTAAACTCATTTAAAGATCTACGTTTTAAGCAGATTTTTAAAAACAGACTTCAGATCATGTCAGGTATTTTTAAGGCTAATGTCAAAAAACCTGTAAGTTTAGGCTCACGTCTTCTGCCAAAAAAAAAAAAAGTTAGGCTCATGTATTATCCACGGGGGCAAAAAAACAAAAAGACTCCCGTTTCATGCCTCTATTTGAGACGAGACCGATTGGCATTTGGCTAACGTCCGACCAAACATTCTAACCCTACCGACCACAACGAATGTAATTTAAGGACAAATACGCCTTTTAATTAACCCTATTTTATATTAATATTGATGTTGGCATTATTTTTAGCATAAATTATTTTCCCAAAATACTAAGTACATTAATAATTTAATACTTTTTAATGAAATGATCAATGATATAAAATTAAAATGAGTCATACAACTAGAGTTGTTGTAAGAGGGAAATAAATTGTTGGAAAAAAAGAGGAAATAAAGAAAACTTCAATTTTGTAAAAGAATGATATTAATAATTTAATGTTGATATTGATTATTGATGAGTATTACTATAATTTTACATTTTCGACTATTTCAAATTTTATATTGATATTGATATTATTTTAGATTTACTTACCCAAGAAAACTGTTGCTCTGGATTATGATCCCAGAAATTATTAACCGAATAGTATTATCATAATCATTGTTATTACTCAGGAGAAAGAAACGAGCCAACTATATAATTCTCAGATGGGAATTGGGTAGCGGCGTGGGAACCCCGCGGAAGTGAGCGAACGCTTCAAACGGAGCTCTGATTTTGTAGTTTTAGATCTGCAAAATTGGGCGAAACCATTCGAAAAACCAAACTTCGAAAACATGGGTCTTTAGTTTTAGAGAATTCATTTATTCTCATTTCTGAATCATTTGTTGGCTGTTGCCGTATTGTGAAGTCACAAGACGCAACGCAGATAGCTAGAGGTTCCAAAAAAAACTAAAAGGGATTCTTCGTATGTGAGAGCGATGAGGGGGTCGGGAACTAACGCAGTTTCTTCTTCTTCTTCGTCTTCTTCGGAAAGCACTGACATGTCGATCTCAGGCAAGTTGTTTGATTTCAGTTCAATATATACTATTCTCGTAATCATATTCTTCTCTAAATTTTGACGTTGAAAAGTGTGCTTTTGAAATAATTACTTTCACGTTTATTCCCGTTTGTGTATTGTTTGATGATTTTAATTATACTCTTTTTGGGGGAGAATTTTTAGATTAGAAATAGTGTGTGGGTTTCGGATGTTTCGTATGAAATCGCAGGGTCCAAAGTTCGGACCTTTGTAGAACGTGAGAGACCGGTGTCTGGGTTGGGACTTGTTAGAGTATGTGTGGGGTGTGGTTTTGCCAAATCAAAGTATTGTGGTCGAAGGGGGTTTCAGTGCCTCAGTTCATCACATTTCTTAGAAATCAGATATGCAAGCGTCTTACTTTTATGGTCAAGTGGAATGGGTGATCAACATCGGTCTAAGTCCCTGGAGGGATTTTGTAATGTGATGGGGGACTACTTAGAGTGACATGTGCAAAAGAGTCAGTTGACTTGGATATCTCGAAAGGTTTTTATTTGCTGTCTTGGCATCTTAGAACTCCTCGATGCTTAGCTATCTGTCTTCTGAGGGAGTCTTGGATTTGAATTTGTTTGGGATTCTAAAATCTAAATCACTGAATGCTGATAGGCCCCTCAAGAAATATTTCCAGATCGGACCACCTTCGGTTATCTAAAGAACAGATTTACACACAGATGAAAATTTAAGCTAAAATACATTACTTTAGATGCAATACGCTACACTGGTACAAAGAAGATTACCTACAAATGACACTGTAAAGGAAGGAAAATGATTACAGTTAAAAAGAGCAAAGATACAAACCACACACAATGACACTACAAATAACATAGAAGATAACAGGATTGCCAATCATTCGAGAGGGTTGGCTCCCTCCACTCCAATGCCTAATCCTGACTTGAGGTCCTTCTTCCCCCTTTCGTCCTTCCAAACTCCTCTCTATATACACCCACTCCCAAATTTCTGACTGTTTCCCTTACCTTTGTCAGCATGACTACCCAGCTTTACTCCCCGCTTTTCTGTCTCCTATGGTCCTCACCCTTATATTTCCTTCTAGACCAGTAGTTCCACCTTTTCTGCCATTTTGCCACGCTTTCATATCTGCTTCTGTGAGTTTTGGCGGCAATAAGTGATAGGGTCTTATCAATCACCAATTTATTAATTACAGCTGGTATTCTGAAGGGTTAGAATTCTTGATAAGGGTTTTAGATTTGATATGTATGAACTAACAACTCAATGGCTGAATTGCTTGCTTTCACTCAGAATCACAAGTCATCATTGTATTTCATAGATTGAAAACTTGTTATCCTGGATTTTTGTTCTGGGTTCAAGCTATTTGGGTGGCTTGGAAGGGAGAAGGAATTGGCCTAGGGAAGGGATGTGATTTAGATTAGTATCAGTATCAGATATTCAAATCAAGTGCTCTGTGTTTGTGTTAGATAAATATAACAGGGAGTAGGAGTTATTTAGTTAGTTGTGACAGTTATGATTTAGCAGTTAGATTGATATAAATAAGGGGCCTAGGACTTGATTAGATGCTGTTGTTATTGTTGCTTATGCAGATGATTCAGTTTGATATTTCTCTTCCTAGTTTCTTTCTCTCCGTCTCCTATTTCTTTCTCTTCTCTCTTCTCTTCCCTTTTTATACCTGCTTCCTATGAAATAATAGCAATTAGACTAGTAATTAGCAAATCGCCCACTTTTCTTGTTTCATTAAAAAATGCATCAAATGTTTTGTAAGGAAGAAAACCTAATTAATTATCATCATTAAATAACGTCAGAAATTTCTTCATGCCAGAACAAGTTGAATTGCATAAGATCAGGGTATTCCTTGCGGGCTTCTTCTCAATTGCTTTAGTTTCTAATTGTTTCAATTGGCCTGAATTATCTTTAAGATGTATAACAGGAGTTACTTGCAAATTCTTGGCAGCCAAATGTGTGATGGGTCTAGAGTTGAATGTTGGTTGGTCTGAGTTATCTTCTTTGTTATCACGATGCACATAAAAAACAAAAAACAATTTAAATGTATATAGTAAGTCAGCTTAGCCTTAGGGAATGAAGACAGGTTGTTAGTGAAGCAGTTGCTCTGTCACACTTTCACAGTTATTGGAATCTTGTACTTCATTGTCAAAGTTGAGATGGCCTTTTATGTTGGAATTTGCGATAAATCTTTCTCGTCAATACAATTAGTTGTGACTCAATCTGCATCCGTAATATTTGGAATTAATTGCTAAAATTTCCTTGTTTTGCAGGGCTCCGTGAGAAGCATCAACAGGAACTAGAAATTTTGACACTAACCACACAACCCTTCAAAACATTAAAATTCTTCACATTAGCTGTTATTGATTTTATGAAGAAGACAATATTATATTTGTTGGCAAAAGGTGGGTGGCTTTTGCTGTTCAGTGCTTTTGTAGGAGCTTTTGGCATAGTGCTGATGACCATTGATGGTCCTCATGAAAAGGTATTATCTTATATTCTATTTTCTAACCTTCGTAGTGGGCTTGGTTGGCAATTTCACGCTATATACACTTTTGGAAGGTGAACTTAGACTAAAATCCCTCTACAACAGCCTCAAATAGTAATATGTGGGATCAATGTTTCTGTTAAATGTCAATGATGATGATGACAAAATCTATATCCATATATATCGTCTTGTTACTGTATTCTACCTTTATAGTATTTATTTTAAATCTTTCACGATGTTGTTTAAATACTTCGACTACAATAACTTGTGATCTTGCAGCATATTGAGGAGCTTCATAATTATTTCCAATTCGGATTGTGGTGGATAGCCCTTGGTGTTGCATCTTCCATTGGCCTTGGTAAGTAAAAGATGCATGCAAGAAGATAATTTATCTTTGTACCTTTGTGTTTTCTTGATTGTTAGACACCGTTGGTTTGTGATCTTCACTTTAAAGAGGCACTTGTGTAAAATGTGTGACCATACTTTTAAGGATTTACCAATCCTTGTAAGCCACAATCATGTTCGGTCTTTTACCTTCTGCTTCCTTTTTCTATTTTGGTAAATTATCTTCTTATATATGTACGTATTTTTCCATTGGCTCAGGATCTGGTTTACACACTTTTGTCTTATATCTGGGTCCTCACATAGCATTTTTCACAATTAAAGCAATGCAATGTGGCCGAGTTGATTTGAAAAGTGCTCCATATGATACAATACAATTGAAAAGAGGTCCTTCTTGGCTTGACAAAGACTGCTCCGACTACGGGCCACCATTGTTCCAAACAGTACATGGTTCACGGGTTCCGCTTAGCAGGATTCTGCCTCAAGTCCAGATGGAGGCTATTCTTTGGGGTGCTGGAACAGCTATAGGGGAACTTCCTCCTTACTTTATCTCAAGGGCAGGTATGTGTTGTTATCTTAGTCATTCTCTTAATTTAATAATTCAATACTATTTAAAAACAATATGCTTACCGTTGAAATAATGTTATTTTCATCTAGCTTGTAAAGATTACTTCAGTAGGATGATATGAAGCTTTCAAAATTTTGCTGCTCTTTTGTTGCTTTTACTAGGAAGAGGAGAACGGGGCAAGGCTTTGTTAGAATTTAAAAATATATATGTAAATTATTTTTAAGTGTGGTAAGGCCTTCGCTATAGCTAAAATATATATAACAATTTTATATAATTTGTAATTTGAGATTGTCGTAGGCCCTACTACTCTTAAGCTTATCTAAACTAAAGCTTAACCCCAGCTTCTGCTACTGTGTATTTTTCTGACCTTGTGGTCATCTTTCCTGTGCAATTATACATTTCAAATAAGTCTTATCTTTTGTAGCTTATGGAAATTTGTTTCCCTCACGCTGTATAGAGATTTCTTCATGATCGGACAGAGTTAATAGGACATCTGCGTTTTAATGTTTGAAAGTTATTGGATATGACAATAATTATAAGCAAGCCCATGTCTCCTCCATTTTATGGATAACAGCTGTGGGTTGGAATCCACGTCCATCTCTTGCTTTGTTCTTCAGATCAGTTCATATACCATTTGACTTTAATCTCATATTATGGTCTTTCACTATTGTCGTCGAAGATATTGTTTTGGCCATGTGCTTGACCACTTTATTTTATCATCTTTAGTTTTCTCCTTTTCCATTCTGATACAAATGCTTTGTTTTGCCCTTTTAATGTATTTTTGGCCCTTTTTCTAGTCATTTGGTTCTTTGTTTTTGGAATTTGTTTGTGCATGATTCTAACAATCATATTCCTGTAGCACGTGAGTCTGGGAGGGCCTTGGACGCCATGGAAGAGTTGGATACTGAAAATAAAGGGATTATGGCCACTTACTTAAATCAAATGAAGCGTTGGCTCCTTTCACACTCCCAACATCTGAACTTCCTTACCATTTTGGTGCTTGCTTCGGTTAGTATGGACTTTGTGCTACATTACCAGTTCAACCTTTGTCTGTACAACTTGTTACTTCTTCTATAGGTGGAATTTCTGTGTGTTGCTAACTTCTTTAACACTAGTTGCCTTTTATTATTATTATTGTTATTATTATTATTTTTATGAACATTGGGACTCTGGACTGCTGTGTGTGTTCCACCATCTAACAGTTCATGATTTTTATTGACGTTTTTTTTTTTTTTTTCTGACCGGAATTTTTAGTCTTCCTTGACAAACCACTATTTTTATAAGTTTCTTTTTACCGTAATTGAGATATGGGAAATAATGGTGGTCTATGCTCATATATAAGTGGGATATTCTTTGACTTTCCCTTAATTAGAGAATGATTAACTTAAGCTTATTAGTTGAAAACTTTATTGAGTCAATTTACTGTGCTTTCCTGTTAAGATCCCTTAATTTTGGCTTTAGGCCTTTGGACATTTTCATCTTTAATGATTCATCTTATTAAAGATTGCATCATATTCATTGAATTATTGTTTTGGTTGCCATAGAAAACATATTTTTGGCCCGTTGAAATCAAATTTTCCTTGTTAATCAGCTTATTAATCAAATTAAGCTGGTAAGTGTGCACTTTTATAATGCATAACTGTGTAATTGGTAAATGAGCGTTGACCCCAACCCTCGTTTTAACACATCAAGTTGCTAGAGTGGATGATTTCTTAGTTCAGCACGTGAGCTGCCTTAGTTCTTTATTTTTATTATTTTTATTTTTATTTTTTTAATTTCAGGTGCCAAATCCTCTATTTGACCTTGCCGGTATCATGTGTGGACAATTTGGGATTCCTTTTTGGAAATTCTTTCTTCCAACCTTGATTGGAAAGGCACTTGTCAAAACTCATATACAGGTATGTTTAAATTTTAGTTTTTCATATGCTGCTCAGTATTACTTTTGCTCTACTTGTAACAAATCAAATGATGCTCTGCTATAGAGGGAACTCTAGATCTCTTGCACTAGTATTCAACCGGGAAAAAAAAAGAAGCCTGCTTAACTGTTCTCAAGTGTTAATCCATATATCCCACTTTCTGGAGGTTCAAAATTTTCATTTTTCTTTTCTTGGTATGAATATTTCATATTGTATAAGGCGAATGAAAAGATTCTGAAGAACGGGGGGGATTTTGACTGACTCTAAATTATATTCTTATTGTGCAGACAGTATTTATCATCTTAATCTGCAATAATCAACTTCTTGATTGGATAGAGAATGAGGTCATCTGGGTTGTAAGCCATATTCCTGGTTTTGCTTCTATCCTGCCTGATGTGATTTCAAAGCTCAAGGCAGTCAGAGAAAAGTATATGAAGGCACCCCATCAAGTTTCTCCTCAGAAAATCCAGGTACCCATAGATCTTTTTGTGAGCTAGGTTGGGCTAAAGTCCAATAAGCTTGTAGGCTCTGTTTGCATAAAATATAAATTCTTCTTATGTTGACAAGTGGAAGTTCTGTCATTGCAAATATAAATATCCCTTTCACAAGGGCATTATTGTCCAAAATGTTTCATATTCCTGTCTAGCCCATGAACATCATGCAGCTGTGTACGACAACTTTAATGTCTTCATGTTGGTTTATTGCACATATTCTTATTTCCTTTTTTTCCCCCCTCTTCGGCTTATCTCTTTACATTCAGGGGGGAAAGTGGGATTTATCGTTTGCTTCGATCTGGAACACTCTCGTGTGGCTGATGCTTTTGAACTTCTTTATCAAGATAGTGAATTCAACTGCCCAGGGTCACCTGAAGAAACAGCAGGACCGAGAGCTGCATGACTTCATAGACAAATCTGCACCCACCGATTCAGATGTGCAATAAAATACCTCTTCGCTTGAAAATCCTCCTTTTTCTCTTTTTCTTCTTTTATCTATTGTGTAAATCTCTATTTCCTCTACCCGTCATTGGGTTCTTCTTTCCCCCTTCTCGATTTCCTGTGACTGGCAGGGGCATTGAAACTTGATTTGCGGCTAATTAATCCTCAAGTTGTAAACCACATTAACCAGGCATTGGTTTCATTAGCTATTGCTACGATTGTACTATGGGAGTCTTCCTATTCTTTTGAAATGATAGACACAAATTTTTAATGTGACATCTGGGACCTGAAAATTTTTTTGGTAAGCACCAAAGATACGGGATTGTTGCAGATTTCTAATTTATTTTGGAGCCATTTTCTTTTCTTCTTTTCACTCCCGAGGGCAATTTTATCAAATGCATCATGCCACGCAGCTTGCGTTTCGTAAAACTAATAATTTGACGAGAGCTTTTATTATCAACATTATTTATATTTGATAAATTGTAAATGTTTTTTGTCTATTTCAACTTTCAAGGCCGATAAATTGTCCTATTTATATGTAGAAACTTGACATTGCAATTGATAATTGTACCATTCTTTTTTATTTCTTGGGGAAAAAAAAGTATTAACAGTTTGATATTACATCATTTAGTAATATAGTCCAACATATCCACTTTCACTAATACACATAGGTGGGGGCAAGGCCTCTTTTTCAACATGTACAAAAGTTCCCAAATATTTCTCCAGCCTTAAACTTATAGTTGAATAGAATATTCTCACTCTTTAGCGTGTGAGCCACAAGGGCAGAAATACTAAAAGGCTTTTATGAAAATGAAACGTCTGCTCCAAAACAATGATGCCGTTGACGGGTCAATAGGTTTTAATTATTTGCAACAAACCTAGCTTTGCCCGGTCAAACTCGATCACTACCCCGTTTCTTAGCAAAATAGGACCCATCATATCATACCATACCGTAGTTCTCATAAATATCTCGTGATAATCTTCTATCCAAATAAATGTGCAGTTAAAATGAAGTACAAACCATTGAACACATCATCAATACATGCTATGTGCCAGAGGTGAGCACACCTGGTAAAAGAGTGATGCAAACAAAAAGTAATTAACATTTTATTGCACTGCAAAAGAAACTAACATGAGATAATGCGCATGAACACCTAACTATTTGATGCTTGAGATAATTTAGGACAACATGTGATATGGGATTCACAGTGACATTTACCAGCCAGTCTAGGAAACATCCAATGGATAGAATAAAATCCTCTGAATGGGGGTAACCAACGAACAATTCCATCTTTGAAAGAATATATACCAACATTCTTCTTCGAATTACCCTTCAACGAACTACTTAAACATATTTGATTACCTTGAACAAGAGAGGTCGGAGGGCAATCTTTAACGTCAACTATCTCTGAGCAAGAGTCATTTAGTAATACAATTTGATCTCCCAACGTATCCAATTTCACCAGCCGATCTCCACACACCTTATAGATCTCAAACTCAACAGTAAAAAAATCAACTTTAACCTCCCTACAATGGCGCATCACGAGAAAAAGATCATTTTTCTGAGGCTCAACCACTAGATATGCTCGGAATGGTCGATCCCACTTTGATGGAGTATTAATAACTGGAGAAGAACACACAAAAGCTAAAGGAAAAAGCTTCATACCATCGTCAATTTCTATAACACCCACAGGCAAAAGCTTCAAATCATGGTCAATTTCAAATATGTCAACCATGCTATAGTTCTTTCTCATAGCATATAATTTCATATCGTGAAATGCCACGTTAACATACTGCTCATCTGTTTCATGGGGTTCCCACGCACTGCCTCCAATCTTACACACGGATAACTTCCCATCTTCAGAAACAATCGCAGTCATAATGGGTCTCATAAATGCGCAGAATAACACTGCAAAAGCTCTGACACACCCAGGAGGGCCAACAAGAGAGAGAGATTTGTCAGAAGGTATAACGTTCTTCATGGTAGGCAAAGGTGGGAGATCAAGATGAATATTGGAGAAGAGATTCACAAGCTGGATTAATTTTTCCTTGTAATATTGCAGACATAACCATCCCTTGAAGGATCCAATAATACATGGGTTGGAATGCTGGAAAAATTTAGGTTGTATCTGATAGCATGTTATCTCTTTAAATGTTCTTCTTCCACAGAAAGTGGGGTCAGCAGTAAGACTAAGACCAATGAGAGATGGAGTCTCATGTGCTTTAGGATTAGGTCTCTCGAAGACCAAAGAGTGGCACAGCTTGCAGACTCTAGCAAACTGAAGTTGATCTGAAATCGATAACCGATCAACCATGAGCTCAAGAAAATCTTTGGGCATACTGAGGATGTCTCTAGGTATGAGGTCGAATGATCTCTCATCTATTCTCAATTCTTCCTGCTCTGATTCTTCCATGCTGAGATAAAAACATTAGAAAATGAGATTCAGTTAAATTTCAACAAAATCTTTTTGAGTAATTCCAGAAGGAGTGAAAAAACTATAAATCTGAAACTTTTTTTAATTAACCAATCAATTCTTTAATGCTCCTAAAGAGTATTATAACCATAATAATGTGTGTGTATCAATGGCAATCATACACCTAAGGTTTCATAAAAATTCGCAAATGCGATTCAATCAATTCAAACGAATTGATTCTCGTTTATAAAACATAACTCCAAAAGAAATATAAAAAAGTTAACAAGGAAGTGCGGTAGAGAAGATCCAAATTCCATTCCAGTTGCTAAAATAACGTGATAACTGCACCCATTTTCACCCATAAAACAGAAAGACAATTTATTGTTTGGTTCATGCGGAGAAAGGGGTTTTGGCCTTGTTATGATTAAAATGCCACTTCTAAACCCACCAATTACCAATTTAGAGGGGAGGGTAGTCTAAAACTCTAAAACCAAACAGGGGATAGTCTCATAAAGTGGATATTATGTCGCGGGGTGAAAAAGAAAGATTTATCAGGTAGAGAATGAGAGAATCACAAAGCACATACTTCAGAGAGGCGTGAAGGTGAAGATGATATCTCTGAATCTCAACACTGAAGGCGCACAAATTTGACAGCTACGATTGATTTCTTCGCAATCGCTCCTCGACGGCTCCCCAAATCTCCGGCCGCCAATCTAGTGCTCTTCTTCTTCTTGATTGCTGCTGCCGCCTGAGCCCTTATATTACGTCTGAGTCATAATCCCGAACATCGTGCGTTTGACGCCACTTGCAAGGTTTCATTTATTTTAGGATTAAGGTGTAATCACAGCATTTATCCTATGTTTGGCGTGAGTGACGAAATGGAGGTAAGAAGGAGAAGGGAAACTTTCATGAGCTCAATATAAAAAATTAAAAAAATGAGGTTATAAAATTTTAATTAAAAAATATAAAATAATAAAAATTAATTAAAAGTTTTTAACCTCATTTTATCAATTTTTAAAATTATGTTCATTAAAATTTTCTCTCTCTTTTTCCTCTTTCCATTTTCTTCATACCAAACAGATTGTTAAACTATAGGATACTTTTTTTTTTGTTTTAATATTGTCCTGTTTAAAATTACAATAATTTTATTTTCTATGTTGAAAACGTTGAGAGTCAGTAATAACAATATTTTAATGATTAATAATGGTATGAGATAGAATTGTTATAAATTTAAATTTGGTAACATTGAACATAAATAAGCTTTCAAGTACTAGCATCTCGGGGTAAAAAATTTTAGGATAAATTTGTATATTTTCTTAAAATTATCTTCAAAGAATATTTGAAAATCTTATTAAATTATTTGAAGCTGAAAAAATAGCCCTGATACAATTTTATGGATAACAAATAATACTAGTCTCTTTGATACTCTTCCGTTTCAAAATATAACATACATTAAACCGATTTATGTTTATTAAAAATTTAGTTTAAAACAATAAATATGTAATACATGTATTTATTTTTTTAAATATGTTTTTATTAATAAAAAATAAGTAAAAGATGTAATAAATGAATTAAAGAGAAAAGAGAATATATGGAGGTAAAATTGAAAAAAAAAATTAAATATTTAGATAAAATTGAAATGTATCTTATAAAAAAAAAAAGAGCTAAACCCTTCTAACAAAATGTATCTTATATTTTAAACCAAAGGGAATATTTATTTATAATTCTAGATGCATATCTGGCAAAAAAAAAAGTAATCTGAGAGACATAATTGTTATTAAATTTTTTATGAACTATCCAGAATTTTAGGAAACCTTTTGTGTAATTTTTTTTCCGTCAACCAATGATCAAATTAACTGATATTTGATGGAATATACTAAAATAATAAGATACATAAAATAGCTGTATTTGGAATAATTTATAAATAGTTTTTCCATCGTGATTCACAGGATACGAAATAAATATGTAACAAAAATTGTATTGACTTATATAAAATTTGATTTTTAAGTATTTCTAATCATGATTTCAAACAAAAACCATACCTTTGGTCCTAAATATAATATCTAATTGACTAATTTAAATAGATTAAGAAAATAAGTTAAGTTAATTATTAAATATAAGAGTTAGTTAACTAATTTAAATAAATTAAAAAAATAAGTTAAGTTAGTTATTTGTAATAAATAGATGTTACTTTTTTTAAAATATCATTGCTAATCAAATGTATTCGTTAAAATTATTATTATTAGAAGGACTATCTTGAAAAAAAAAACATAAATATGAGAGATAAAGTAGACTAGGGTCTTATATTTAGGACCAAAATAAAAATTAAACAAAGTCTTATATTAAATATCGGAGGTAGTTATATGGAAGGGCTAAGGGTAATTTTCCCCCTAGACAAACTTTTAAGATTCATATCATCATCCTTTTCTGTTAGCCTAATTAAATTATTTGAACAATCCAATTGACCACTTATGCTTACGTGATCACTTTTTTTTTTTTTTTAATTTTTACTAATACGGGCCAGTGCCCAAATTTATTACTTCAAACTAGCTCGTGGAAAATAAAGGCCCACTGGGTCATTGTACAAATACTTCCTAACTTTGAAAGTAGGCTCATCAAAAACCACTGCCTCCCTCTCCTCATGTAAACTCAAATTTGCTGAAGTGTCAGCACAAGCACTTTTTTTTTAATTTTTTTTATTGGTACAGGTATCTTCCTATAGAAAGTAATCTATATGCATGCTGAATCTTTTCAAGGTCAAAATTGTCTAGGAGTCGTTTAGTAATAATCGTAAATCTACATCCAGCCTCTCTTTTCTCTGAGGCGTGTCAGCATAACTCAAAATATCATTTGAATTTAAATATCCATTTAATTGGGCCATAGATGAATGATGATGTGGACTAATAAATTTCAGATATCATTTGAATAATTCAAAATATCTAGAAAATATATTTCAAATCTTCTTAGTATTCACTAAATTCAAAATGACTCTTTTAAATAACAAAATTACATAGAAATAAAATAAAAATAAAATGACTTAATTAGAGGAACTCCAATGTATATATGCAACATGCCACTTGTAATATTCTTTTCTACCGAGACTTCTCTTACTCTGCTGGCTAAAATATAACGTAAAGTGACAAAATTGCCCTCCAGATTCGTATCAATGTGAGTTACAACAGCATCCAGTTGTTGTTAATCTAGGAAATATCCATTGCACGCCCCTATCTGGTAATGCCCAAATAGTAGTTTCATCTTTGAGCGAAAAAATACCAACATCATGATATAAACCACCCATGAAACATATTTGGTTCCCTTTAAAAACAGAAGAAGCAGTGGGACAATCTTTAACGTCAATGATCTCAGAACACGATTCACTTAGTAACAGAATCTGATGATCTGCCAATGTATCCACTTTCACGAACAGTAGATCATCGTATCCGTTTATTACCACCTTAAAGATCTCAAACTGAAAAAGTAAGCCAAACTTCTCTTGATATTCCATCACAAGAAACATATTATCTCCTCCAGAATCCTCCACTAGATAAGCTTGCCTTAACAATGGCGATATCGAAACATTAATAACCTGGGAAGAATCTATAACACCCAAAGGAACAAGCCTCAAATCATCATCTTCTTCTTCTCCAATTTCAAATATGTCGATCTGGTGGAATTTCTTCCTCATAGCGTACAATTTCTCATCGTAAAATGTTATATTAACATAGTACCTTCGTTGTCCTTGGTGGTGATCATCATGAGCTTTCCATGTGCTTCCTCCATTAATCTTGCACAAAGCTAAGTCCCCATATTGTGAAACGATTGCAATCAAAACGGGTCTCATAGATCCACATAACGATAATGCAAAAGCTTGAGCATAAAAATGTCGACTTTTCTGTTTAAACAAGGCAGAAGACAAAGGTGGGAGATCAACATGAAAATTCACGAAGAGATTTACAAGTTGGGTTAAGTCGTTGTGATAATATTGAACAAATAACCATCCTTTGAAGTATCCAAGAATTTTTGGATGAGGATGTTTGAATGATTCTGATCCTATATGATAACACGTGACCTGGTCGTCGTATATTGTTTTGCAGAACGATGAGTTCGTCTCAGCGAGACTGATGAGCCATGGAGTGTGATCTTCATGGGATTTAGGGTTTGGTCGTTTGTAAACTGAAGAGTAAGATGATTCGCAAACCCTAGAAAATTGAAGTTGATCTGTAATTGATAAGTGATCACATAAGAAATCGAGGATATCTCTTGGCATATGATCAAAGAATCTCTTCTCGCTTCTTAATTCTTCTAATTGTTGTGACTCTTCCATAATCCTGGGTTACTTAACTGTCAATATATTGATAATCATCCATAAAAAATAAAAAAGTATAAAAATTTATGATGAATTATATTATTTATAAGGACAATTCATTCATAAGACTTCCTATATCGTAAAAGAACATACCTAGTTGGGAGGTAAAATCTTGTTGAGTGATTCCAACTTCCAAAGAACACTTAATAACATAATAGGATCCTTCGAAACATATTAGTGAAGTTTTGTCATAAGTTAGATGACTCCAAATATATATTAATGGAATTTGATTTAAATGGTTTAATCCCTTATCAAAATAAGCCTTTTGGATATAATGATTTATTTCGATGATATGTCCGATCTAATTGAGAAGATAAAGTAATTAAACTAGAGATAATTGTCACTTATTTCAAGTCATATCAGAATAAATAAAATGGGCTAGAATCAAATTCAAATTCGAAAAGACCAATAAGTTTAAAAGGTTTTATTCTAGTTTATCTTAATTTATGTGTTTATTCAATGATTTTCGGATAAGATGGCTTACAATATCATTTCCACTTCGATCATCTTAAATATAAAAGTCTGCTTATTTGTTTGAACATTTGTTTATTTAAGAAATATCATAACAGTTGAAAATCACTAAACACAAAACACTTTTATAATTATTACCAAATACAAAAAGATTTGTGCTTTTGAGTAGTTTGCCCTGAAAATATATGTTAAACTTGGGGCTTCTCTTCTTTTCCCTCCTCTTACTCTCCTTTTCTCATGGGTGATGTCATATCTCCATTTATTTCACTTCTTTCATTTTTTTTATTTATTTTAATCATTTAGGTGATAATATTTTGGAATTATTTTACATAATTTAGAACTATATTAATTTTTAAACAAATTCATTTTTTAAAAAAATTCTTTTAGTGACAAAGCGTATTTTTGTTGGTGATATTTCGTCAAAAACAAACTTCTAGTGGTAATTTTTAATGGTCATCGATTTGTCACCACACGTCACCAATAAGTCTTTTTTTTCTTTTGGAGTAAGAAGAGAGTTTCTTTTATTAAGATTTAAGCTACTACGCCTCAAGTTTCTCCTGAGACAAAGAGCCAATTCGTATTAAAAGGTTTTTTAAAAAAAAAATTGATGACCATAGGCAAGGAATACAAAGAATTAGTGAACTACTCAAAGTCAAGTGAAATACCACTAGTACTGCTACTACTGCTACTAATAATAAAAGAAACATTGGAAAAATAAATTTAGAAAGTGAAATAAATCTAAAAGAACATGGTCTCGAGCATCAAAAATCCAGGAGTTTTTTTGTTGTTGCAGTATATCAATTTACAGAGAAGAATAATAGTAACAGAAAATAGTTATGATGATGATGATGAAGGTTGTGATTCACAATAAGATGCAAATCTAGGAAACATCCAATGTAGACAATACATTTCCCTGAATGGAAATAACCATTTGATAGTTTTATCATTGAAGGAATAAATACCAAAATCATGATCAAATCCAGTAGTGAAACATATTTGGTTTCCCCCGAAAAATGCAGAAGAAAGGCAATCATTAACATCAATAATCTCAGAACATGTGTCACTCAGTAACACAATTTGACCATCCAACGCATCCACTTTCACTAATTGATCTCCATCTTTTGTCTTAAAGATCTCGAACTCAATGGCCATCAAAACAGAGCCAAACATCTTACGATGTTGTAACACAACAAAAAGATTATTATCTTTAGAATCCACCACTAGGTAGGCCTGGAAGGGTGGAGGCACTGGTAATGAAGCATCAATAACTTCTGAAGAATATATAACACCCACAAGAGAAAGGTCCAAATTGTCGTCAATTTCAAATATGTCAACCTGGTTAAATTCCTTTCTCATAGCATACATTTTCACATTGTAAAATGTCAGGTTAACATACCGTTCTTCTCTTTTGTGACCTTTCCAGTTCCTGCCTCCAATCTTGAACAAGGCTAAGCTTCCAAGACCAGAAACAATTCCAATCATAGTTGGTCTCATAGATTTACAAAATGATACTGCAAAAGCTCTAACGTGCTTTATCCCAGAAGGCACAAAATTCTTTATAGTAGATAAAGGTGGGAGATCATAATGAATATTGGAGAAGATATTTATAAGCTGAGTTAAGCTGTGTAATTTATATTGCACATATAACCAACCCTTGAAGGATCCAATAATATGTGGATCAGAATGCTTGAATGATTTTGCTTGTATCTGATGGTATGTTACCTCGTTGTATGTTCTTCCACAGAGAGTAGGGTTTTCAGTGAGTCCGATAAGCCATGGCTTCTCACATGCTTTAGGGTTAGGCCTTCTAAATGCCAAAGAGTACAATGACTTGCAGCATCTAGCAAACTGGATTTGATCTCTAAACGATAAATGATCGCACAAGAACTCAAGGAATTCTCTGGGTAGATCAAGGATGTGTGTGGGCATGAAGTCAAACGATCCCTTATCAATTCTTAACTCTTCTTCCTTTAATTCTTCCTTACTGAGTAAAAGACGTCAGAAAATGAGATTCATTTAACTATGAATAAAAATCTTTTTGGGTGACTTTTATTTTGCTGCAAGAAAGGTGGAGAGAAATCATAAACACGAATCCATGGTCTTTCTTCAGTTGACTAAAAAAGCAACTAATTGAGAACAACTAAACCAAATCTAATTGCTTGTTAATAACTAAAACCAGAACTCAAACAAATATAATTCAAACAGAAACATCAAAAGGTTACCAAGCAACTTCAATAGGGAAGATCCAAATTCCAGTTGCTAAAAGAAACTGGAGACTTATTTCTGCGCCCATTGTCACTTGATGGCATATCCCTTTATAATAACCCGGCAAAATCACTAGAAATGAATACCCAAATCTCCTGCAAAAAAATCCGGAGCAGTAGAGCATTCGAGGTAGAGTAAGTTTTCATTCCCAATTGGTTCTTCTGAGCATTTCGTATTGTATCTCAGTTTCATCGGTGAATATTTTGCGGTTGTAGGAGTGAAAAAGAATATAGAAGGGATATCACGAAGCAGTTACCTGATGATCTAACAAAGCGTGAAGATGATCCTTCAACTCTGAATTTGCTCAAAGCTTGACAGTAATGGCCAGTTCCATCTCAATCTCTACACGATTCTTGTTCTCGCACTTTCCTCCTCCAATTTCTTGCTTTTCTTCCTCAATCGCAGTTTCGTCCGTCTAAACTATCTCCTTTTCGCCGTCCCTCTTGTGTTGATTTTCTGGTCGAGCTTGAAGCTCTGCTTTGATATGAACGGCGCCGTTGACGCTGCAATTGAATTTTCGAGATTTGGCATCCCAACATCGCACTTTGCGCCCTTCCCCCGCCTTTTCTAGTCTTCTTCGCCCTTCGCGCACGAAATCGAATCCCGTTTCTTTTGTATTTTGGGGCTGAAGAATCCCATTTCTAAGCCGCTGTTATTTTTCTTCGGAAGAATCCCATTCAAGGCCCCAACAAGGTACTCTCTCCGTTCCTTATTATAAGAGACAAATAACCGAAATACGTTGATAAAAAAACAGTTAAAATTAGTTAAGAACAATTAATGTGTAAAAAGTATAATTTTTTTGCAAAAATGCTCTTGTTAATAAGGAGAGAGAGCATGAAAAAGAACAATTAAATTATTAAAAGAAAGAGAAGTGGGAGGGAGAGAGAGTATGAGTTGGAGATAATAAATATGGGTAAAATATTAAATCAACACAAAAAAGTAGAGACAACTTGTAAGTGTCTCTTATATATAGGAACATGTCATAAACATCAAATGTGTTTTATAATAAGGAACGGAGGGAGTACTTAGGGCTGCACAACAAAGTCTGAAACCCGGTCAACCCGGTCCGACCCGAGGAAGTCCGGTCCGACCCGGTCCAAAAAAAACAGCCCGATCAAGAGACAGGACCAATCGGGTCAGACCAACAAACCGGGTAAGACCGGGTTGAGGACTCATATTTCAGACCATGTGGTCTAGCCCGGTCCAGGTAACCTCCTTTTTTTTTTTTTTTTAAAACATCTATATGTCATGGACTCATGGGATATATTAAATATGAGCCGAGCCCAACCCAACGAGCATTGACCAGCTGACTTGCGTTGCGATTCTGCTCTGCGTTCTGCTGCCCATGCTTTTCCGGTTTTCCCTTAATCCCTTTCACTTTCAGTTCACGGCTTTCACTCTCACTCTCTCAGTATATGCCCTAAGTCGGCCTAACATTCTCTGCTTTTCCCTTTCACGACCTGAGAAAGCCGCTCTCTTCAACCAGTAGCTATTGGATTGGGGGTCAAGGAGAGGAGCGAACCAAGCTTGAAATGGGAATCGAGAGGCACGAGACGGAGACAGTTAGGTCGCCAAAGCAGTGGCGATGAAGGCTGACAAGCACAATTGACTGAAACTGGAGTCTCACGAGGGATTTGGGAACTTATCCGGCCGGCCCTATCTTCAAGTCAGTCGATTCGAAAGTAGGTTCAGCTTCACTTCGCGATCATCTCCTCATTTCCTCGGTAGTCGTCTGCTTTTCTGTTTTCCCTTTTGAGCGTTCGTGATTATCTCCTCACTTCCTGAGTTCGCTGCGCTCCTGCTTCAACTTCAGCTCCTCGGCTAGCTTCTTCTCCAAAGATTGATTAGCTTGTTGTCCTTGGAAGGCTCATTCAAGACTTTGAGTAGCTTCTTCTTCTTGACTCTTTGCTTTTTATTCTTGCTTTTAATTTCCTACGGTTTATTCTGTGCACAGCAATTGTTTCATTTTGCTTCGTTTTTATCAGAAATTGGTCATTCTTCATTGTTTGATCGCTGATGCTGTTTCGGTGTTTCTGTCTTCATGGGTTTTGATTAGCGTATTAAACTGTTGATCTTTTTATGGCTTGATTTTATTTAGCAATTAACCGTTGGTTTAAACTGTTGATCTTCAACTTCACTCTCAGTATATTAAACTGTTTCTGTCTTCATGAGTTCACTGGTTTAAACTGTTGATTAGCAATTGTCTTTTGTAGTGTCTGCCTGTCTGGTGTTGCTGATTTTATTTAGATTTATATGCAAATATATATGTGTGTGTGTGTGTGTGTGTCATGCATTCGTGATAACGAGAACTTGTGAATGGCTGAATGCTTCGTGAATGGCTGAACTTGTGTGTGTGTGTGTCATGCATTCGGTGTCAATTAGTGAATGGCTGAATGCTTCGTGATAACTTGTGAGGAGGGTCCTTTATTATTCATTATGGCTATGTCAACGAGAACTATAGTATATATTATGATTTGATTAATTAATGTATGATTTTTATTTTCATGTTAGAAATGGTTGATGAAACTTCAGCAGCTACTAGTCAACCCTCATCTGCACAAACACAATTAGTGGGCACTGGTGAAACTGAAATAGGCCCTCCTGCTGAATCAATTTCTCCCACTCCTCCTCCTTCTTCAGTAGCTGAACCTGTTTCTAACCTTGGACAAGATACTGCTGGAGAGAATGTGAGTAGAAAGAGAAAAGAGCCTGAGAAGAAATGCACAAAATCACAAGTTTGGGAGCATTTTGTAAAATTACCTTTGGAAGAAACAAATGGAGAAGTTAAGGCTGCTTGTAGATATTGTCATGCAATTTATGCTTGTGACCCAAATAAGCATGGCACAACATCCTTGAAAAGGCACTTTCCAAAATGTCTCAAGAACCCAAATAGGGCTGACACAATACCAAAGCAATCAATGTTGAACTATGTGACTCCAAGTGGGCAAGCAAGGAGTTTAGTCCCTCATGTTTTCAATCAAAAACGATGTAGAAGGGCGCTGGCTGAATTTGTTATTTGTGATGAGATGCCATTTCGGATTGTTGAGAAGCATGGGTTTAGAAACTTTGTGAAAGAGCTAGAACCAAGATTTCGAATCCCTTCAAGAACAACAGTTGCTAGAGATTGTTGGCAACTATACCTTGGAGAAATTAAGATATTGAAGGAAATATTGAAGAAGTCTACACACCGTGTTTGCTTAACGACTGATTGCTGGACATCTGCTCAAAACTTCAATTATTTGTGCTTGACTTGCCATTTCATTGATCCTGATTGGAAGTTGCATAAGAGAATATTGAATTTTTGCATGATTGAAAATCACAGGGGTGATACAGTTGGCAAGACAATTGAGAAATGCCTCTTGGAATGGGGAATAGAAAAGGTATTTACCATAACCATGGACAATGCATCAAGTAATGACTCCGCCTTGTCATATCTGAAAAAGCGGCTTAAGAATTGGAAGGGAATGATTTGTGGGGGTGATTACCTTCATCTTAGATGTTCTGCACATATACTTAATTTGGTGGTTAATGATGGCTTGAAGGAGTTGAAGAATAGCTTTGATTCAATTCGCAATGCAATTAAGTATGTTCGTTCTTCCCCAGCTCGTCTCCAAAAGTTCAAAAATATTGCTGAATTAGAGAAATTGGACACCACTAGCCTTGTTTGTCTTGATGTTAGTACTCGGTGGAATTCAACATATTTGATGTTGGAATCTGCTTTGAAATTTCAAAAGGCTTTTGAACGATTGGAAGATGAAGATGATGACTATGAGGCATATTTCACTAAAGGGACATCTCTAGGCGTGAAGGCCCTCCTGAAGCTAATGATTGGAATAAGGCAAGAGTATTTCTCAAATTCTTGAAGGTGTTCTATGATATAACTTTGATGTTTTCAAGTTCACTAAATGTCACTTCTAACACTTGTTTCCACCAAATTGCCCTAATTCATGAGTTGTTGGAAGAGAACATTGTGAATGCTGATCCTTTGCTTTTGGAGATGTCCTTTAGCATGAGAAGTAAATATGAAAAATATTGGGGTCAAACAGAAAACATGAATCCTTTGCTCATTGTAGCTGTGATTTTAGATCCTCGGTATAAACTTGCTTATGTGTATCATATCTTTGAACAACTTTTTCATGATGGGGAAGTTTGCATGGCCATGAAAATTAAGACCAGAGATGTCTTGCACCGCATGTTTGATGAATATTCTGTTGGACAAACAAGCAATGGTTCTTCAAGCAATGCTGGTTCTTCAAGCAATGCTACTTCTTCTGTACTCCCAGGATCATCAACATCAGCAATGCTACAAAGCCAAGTGGGTAGAGATCCAGGTCGCAGATGGTTAGCTTCTCAAAAAGAAAAAAGCTCTTCTGACCCACAATCAGAATTGGATAGATATCTTTCATCTACTTCAGCTGATGATAGCCTTATTGATGATGATTTTGATATCTTAGCATGGTGGAGAGCTAATTCTGGCAAATATAAGATTCTTTCTAGAATGGCACGTGATGTCTTGGCTATTCCAGTGTCTACAGTGGCCTCTGAATCAGCCTTTAGCACTGGGGGACGTATAGTGGACTCTTATAGGAGTTCCCTATCCCCATCAATGACTGAAGCACTGATCTGTTCCCAGAATTGGCTACTCCCTGGGCAATCTCTCTCTGAATTTGCATCCATGCTTCAAGAGTTTGATAACTTTCAAGAGACAGACGGTGTGGTGAAGACCGGTATGTGTTGTAGTGCTATCGATTACTTATATTTTATATAACTATTTAAATAGATTTTATTTGTTTGTAATCATTTCATAATATGTGTTGTTGTATTGTAATGTCATTGACTATTAATGTTTTACATACTTTTCAGATCATTCCACTATTACTGATGTTGGGGAGGATGTTTGACTTTCAGCATTTCAGTTTCAGTTTCAGTTTCAGATATTTTGGACATATATGACTATAAAGTCTTTTGTTTGTTTGATGGTGCCATGGTGGTAGCTTGTTTTTTTGGCTATATGGCTGGATTTTTTTTGGTCAGTTCAATTGTGCAGGTTGATGATCTTTTTGATGGTTGATCTTTTGGATGGTTGATGTTTTGGATGGATGATCTCTTGGATGGTTGATTAAAATCACCATATAGTTGGTTCATCATAGTCAGTACTAACTGGTGGATGACTTACTGAATGAATTAGGGCTGCTGTATAGCTAACTCACTTGATCTTTTGTATATGCATTGAAGTTGAACCGTGGAACATTTTGACTATTATTGGCCAGCCAAGAGCAGACTTTGATATGTAGACTTTGATATGTAGCTTCAATGACTGA